CCTTGGGCTCAGGTCATAATCCCAGAGTCCTGGGATCAAATCCCACATCTGGCTCCCTGCTCAGCGGGGAGTCTGCTTCTCCCTCTGCCCCTCCCCCCCAACCTGCGCACACTCTTTCTCTCTCTTTTGCAAAAATAAGTAAATAAAACCTTTTTTTAAAAGATTTTATTTATTTGTCAGAGAGAGAGAGAGCGAGCACGAGAGCACAAGCAGGGGGAGCGGCGGGCAGGGGGAGAAACAGGCTCCCCACTGAGCAGGGAGCCCGATGCAGGGCTCGATCCCAGGACTCTGGGATTATGACCTGAGCCCAAGGCAGACACTTAACCGACTGAGCCACCCAGGCGTCCCAGTAAATAAAATCTTGAAAAAAGAATTATCCATAAACCTAGGGAGTCCCCAGCATGTGGCAGGCTCCAGGCCTGGCGGACAGCAGGGGATTGCGAGGGAAGCCGTGGCTCACAGGAAGTCACTGTTCAGTAGGATAGGCAGATAAGGTCAAGGTTGTGGTCCCCAGAAAGTCAGATGGGGGGACCCAGAAGGGCCAGAAAACACGCTCCATCCACTCTGTAGTTTGAGGTCAGGGGAAGGGTAGGGCTGAGAGCCTTTTGCTAGCTGGGGCCATGGGCTCAGGCTACCTGTCTTTTGACCACTTATTCCAAGCAGACAGGTCAGGATGTCCCAGTAAGTTTGCAAGACAAAAAAAAAAAAAAAAGCAGGTTCCCCTAAGTGCTTACCCACCCTTGGGCATCCTGGGGGACAGGGTGGTGGAGGCATCCATCCGAAGGCAGGAGGAAAAGCGCCATTTGAGGATGTGTCCCCCTCCCCCCAAACAAATGATGTCTGCAGCATTTCAGTGCGTTTCAGTAAGCTGGAAGTCAGCCTGCTCCCTGTCCTTGGAGATCCGTGTGAGGTTGGCTCAGACCCCAGCCCTCCACAGCCCCAAGTCCCTCCTGTCTGTCCTCACCAGGACTTTGGGGTCAGGGGGACAGCAGTGGTGGCACCTGCCTTCCCCGGTCATCCAATTCTGTCCTTGCGTTCAGTCCTGCTCCAGGCCCCACTCCCAAGCGTAGCTCTCCCCGCCGAGCATCTAGGGTGTAGCCCCCTTTCCCAAAGTTTACAAAGCCAGCTCCCCAGTTTGCCCTTTTGGTGCTCCCCAGAGCGGTACCTCTCCCCCTCCCTAGTCCCCTCCAAGACCACACTTTGGCGAGCCCATTAATGGCTCCTGCTAAATAATGGACCACCTATTCACCCCCAACCCCACCGCCCCAGGCAACGGTGGTCTGGCCGATGCTCCGCATTTCTGACTTTCCCTTTCCGCTTCTCTACAAGTGTCTGGGTGGGAAAAGGAAGGTTGTGGAGTGTGATTTCCCTCTGGTATGAATTACGCCACCTCCCCACGTATGAAGAGATTTCAACTCCTGTTTTTTCCCCTTCGCTCCTGCTGTGGGAGAGAGGCGACATCTCCTTGGTGTTCTCAGGAGGGTGGGTCACCCGAGGAGGGGTGGCGCTGCCCTGGAGGGGCTAAAGGGGGCGCTGTGGAGCCATTAAGAGAAAATCTTCTGCAGACTTCATTTGCGTCTAACGGCTAATCGCCCCTTTGTCACCTTCTCTTCTGGAGGCTGGAAAGGTGGAACGTTCATTTCCCAGGCTTCCTTGCAGATAAGGCTGGCCATGTGATGACATCTTGACCTGTGGGATGTCTACAGAAGTCAGCTGAAGGGCTTCAAGCGAGGGCCTTTGCTTCCTGATGAAAGGGGCCAGAATAGCTGGCTCCTTTCCCTCCTTAAACACGGATATGAAGTGCGGATCTGTGGTAGTCAGCTTGTGCCCTGGGACAACAAGCATGAGGACAGAGCCAACATGCTAAGGAGGGAGGGCTGGGTCTCTAACAGCTTTGTGGGACAACTGCTGCCTCTTGGTCCTATTATGCAACAAAGAGGAAGCCTTACTGGTTTGAACCACGGTTCTTTGGGTTTCTGTTCCTTGCAGCCCAGTGCATCCCTCACAGATTCATCACTTTTTGAAGGAGGGTGGGTAGCCCTGATGGCCTGGGGAGAGTGTGTAGGGACACCCTGTGGCTTCACAGGAAGCTGGCCCCTTGTGGGTGTGACTTCCTGGGGAGAGTTCCATGTCACCCAGAGTGGGGACCAGTGCTGACAGCACCCTGGGGCTGCAGTGCTGGAGGAATGTGGGCTGTTGGGGGCCCTGCTGGGACCCTGGGAAACTGCACGGGGCATTCTTGTTCGGGTGTGGCATTTTGGGGGTTGTCTTCTTGGGGTAAGTTCACGGCCACCTGAGCAGGGCCTGACACCAGAGGATTCAGCTGGAGGTTGCCAACAGTGCCATCATGTGGCAGAGAGAAGCAAGGACAGCGGCTGAGGGATCTGATTCAGGGCCTCTCTTGGTGCTGGAGATGGGGACCCTCTCATAGAAGACGATTGTAGGGAGGACCTGGACTTCCTGCTCATCTGATGGGTGTAAGTCCAAGCTCCTTTCCCTATTCAGAGGGAAAAAAAAATTAAAGATCTGTACCTCGAATCTGTGCACGGTTCATATTGGAAGTCAGAAGTAACTATGGTCAGTTTTGCCCTTAAGAGGTTTGTCTTTTTCTGGGCACTGGGTTCCCCAGTGGCAGTGGGCCCAACTTCTAGTACAAATGAATAAAAGTTTTTATAGTCAAGTAAAAAGAAAAGAGGTTTGTCTTTTGTTCATTTCCATGGAAAGACTAAAAATCTCACCTTTTGTATACCTGAGCTAATGAGGTTACCAATTCCCTCTGAGGGAAATGGGTTGAGCTGTGAAAACCTTAAGTGTGTACATCAAGGGGGAGAATAATTGGGTCCTCTGTGTTTGCTCCCATGTGTCCTCAGACCCCCTGCCAGCCTCGGATGCAGGAGACCACAGGCCCACAACTGAGGAATGAGTTAAATAACCACCCTTAAGTGTGCAGGACATGAACCATAAGAGACTCTTCATCACAGGAAACAAACTGAGGGTTGCTGGAGGGAAGTGGAGTGGAGGGATGGGGTCACTGGGCGATGGACCCTGGGGAGGGCATGTGTTGTAAGCACTGGGGATTATATAAGACTGATGAATCCCAGACCTGTACCCCTGAAACAAATAATACATTATATGTTAATTAACTGAATTTGAATAAATTTTTAAAAAATTGCAGGATATGTGTAAAGATCTTTACGCCAACTAGCAAATTCGATTTTCGCCACACCTCACAAACGGGACTTACACATTTGGTTGATGAGAAAACAGAACTTAAGAGATGACAGTGGCTCGCCCCAGATCGCCCTCTGGCGTAACAAAGCACCCCAAAACTTGGTCTCTTAAAGCAACCAACATGCTATCCCACGCAGTTTCCGAGGGTCAGGAATCCAGGAGCAGCTTAGCTGGGTGGCTCTGGCTCAAGAACTCAAGGGGCTGTACCCAAGGTGTTGACCAGGGTCATGATCTCATCTGAAGGCCCCACCAGGGCTGGAGGATCTGCTTCCAAGCTCACTCATGGGGCTGCAGGCAGAGGGCCTCCGGTCCTTGCCAGGTAGGCCTCTCCACAGGACTGCTCCCCATGCCAGCTGGCTTCCCCAAAGTGAGAGATCCAGCTGAAAGCAAGAGTGATGGAGCGGGGTCCAGGGAGGTGCTGCAACGTCTTGTAGAGCCTACTCTCAGAAGCAACACACAGTCACATCCGCCTCGTTCTAAGACTGTCGGTCACGCAGACTAAGCCTGGTGCGGCGTGGGAGTGGGCTACACAGGGCACGAGTACCAGGAGGTGGGGATGGCTGGGGCCATCTCGGAGGTAGGCTACCATGTCTCCCAGCATCTGCGGGCTCCGCCTTTGGCCCATCGGAAAGAATTGTCGGGGGCTCCCTTTGGGGTACAGTTGTCAAATTTAGCAAATAAAAATACAGGATGCTGGGGCACCTGGGTGGCTCAGTCGGTTGAGCATCTTCCTTTCAGCTCAGGTCATGATCTCAGGGTTGTGAGATTGAGACCCTGCTGGGCTCTGTCCTGGGGGTGGAGCCTGCTTAAGATTTTTCTCTGCCCCGCCCCCCCCAAACCCAAACAAAACAGGATGCCCAGTTAGGTTTGAATTTCAGATAAACAACGAATAATTTTTTAGTAAAAGTATGTCCCAAATATTGTATGGGAACCCCACTTTGGGGAGGAGAATAGTTGCCCAAGAGGGGGACACTCCTTGGGGGAGGGCTGAGTTCTGGGGCTCTAGGATTGTGCATGCGACGGGAGATTGAGAAGCTGACCTTTGGTCTTTGTGGGTGGTGAGCCTGGCCCTTCCACCCCAGGAAGGTCATGGCTTCCCCGAGGGACCCAGACAGAGTCACCAAGGCAGAAAGTGCTGGGGAAGGCCATTTTGCAATCCAGGTGCTCCCACCCCTGTTGAAAGCCTCTTTCCTTAAGAGGTCTGGAGAGGGAGGTGTCCCCACTTCAACCCCAGGTGGGGCCTCAGAAGCCCAAGGCTGAGGGGTTGTTGAGAGGAGGGTGGCTGGAGGAACAGAAAAGTGGGGGCACAGGCTCCCACCCGCTCTACCCCCACCTAGGGGAGAGGAGGCTAGAAGAGGCCTCTGCCTTTCTGACGCCTCACAAAGGGGTCCCAGCCTGAGTGGCATCCTCCCTGGCCCCTGAGCCAGCCCCCTTTGCCCCCCAAATTGTCCTGCTCTGCAACCCCAGCCGATGTCCACTCTCAGACCTCCTTGGTGGCTCCCGTCTTTAGCTGCAGAGGACCTGCGGGTGAGGAATGGGGCTTCCCCCTTCCTTAATCGCAGGAATCCTGCCCCAGCCTTGCAGGACCAGCTGGACGCAAGCCTCAGGGCCAGAAGTTGGTCTCCCCAGGAAGGGCTTGTCCTCTCTCAGACATCCCTGTCCACACTGACCTCTCCCGCACCCCCCCCTCCCCGGCTCACCCCTCTAGGGGCCAAAGGCTCCACCCAACACTGCCTGGGGGCTGGGCCAGAGGGCAGGGCAGGCCTGTTCTAGATGAAGCGCTTGTCCTGCTCCTGGTAAGAGAAGGGGTCCCCGGGGAAGGGCTGAGGTGGAGGCTGGTTGCAGGCGCCCTGCAGGAAGATCCAGGCCGTGCCCACGACCATGATGGGCGTCACCACAAACAGGCAGAGTCGGTCCACTGTGCGGGCCACTCGGTTCCAGCAGTCCTTCTCCTGGGGGCAGGGGGGCAGAGACAGTGGGGTCAGGAAGGCTCACAAACCACGGGCCCACACCCCAAGCTGGGGGCCCAATGACAGAGGCATGGCCTCAGTGTATCTGTGGGGGTTGCCCCAGGCTTGCAGCAGATGGGACATGCTGGTGTGTCCCCCCCCTGAAGCCGGGGTCTCTGTCCAGGAGACCAAGAGTGGAGTCACAGTCTCGCTCCTCACCCCGCTGCAGGGCTTCAGGGTGCAAAGAAGAGCTGAGGTGCCAGGAGTCTCTCTCAGGGGGCTGAGGAAGGTTACATCGTCCCCTCTACTTCCTCTTCACTTCTCCCAGCCTCTCAACGCCGTGCTGGCCCATATGTGAACGGAAAATGGGACCCCTTTCTCAAGAGAGAAGTTTTTAAAGTAAAAGTCGTATAATATTGAACAACCACCTAAGGCTGCCTTTTAAATGTGTGCTTATGTCTGGAGTATCAGACTTGGAGTTGAGCAGGGACAGAAAATGATTGGGCGTGGCGACAAAGAAGGGACCCTAGGGAGCTATGCCCGAGTGTATGCTGTGGGCGGTGAGCTGCCAGGGGGTTCTAGGTAGGGGCTCTGCCTCCCAGAAGGCCTGGGGGTCTGCACCCACCGTGAACACCTTCATCTCAGTGGGTATGTGTCTCTGAGGGAAACCGAGCCCCCTGAAGACAGGATGCACCCTAAGCATAAGCTACGCTGTGGCTACTCACCTCGTTGTAATTGTTCTGGTCCCTCATGTGGCTGACGATGAAGTTGGCCCCATCCACGGCTGGCTTCAGCTCACTGAAGAGCTCCTGCTGGGCTTGCTCAGAGCCTGCCGGGGGCGGGCCTGTGGAGACCGGGCCTGAGGTGGGCATGAGGCCTGCCCCACAGCCCGCCTCCCACGGATGGGCCGCACTCCCAAGCCACCGGGGACCCACGTGCAGTGGTGAGGCGCCGGGCCAGCCCGTGCCGCTCGGACTGCTTCTCAAACATGAGGTCACTTCGGGACTTGAGCAAGAAGTACTCCTCGGCCTTAGAAATGTAGCCCAGGGAGCTGCTCCTCCGGACGAGAGCCCCTGGGCTGGGCCCATCCTCGGCTGGGCGGGACATGTGTAGGAGTTCGGGCAGGGTCTCCAGGAAGAGCTGCGGCAGGTCACGGGGACAAAGGAAGGCTATTTTAGAGACATGGCTCCCCTTCACACATCAGAACGTCTGTGACTCCATTCCTGGCTGCCACAAAGTACTCCGGAGTCTCATGCTGTCACCCATTCCCCCCGATGCCCTACCGATGGACACTTGGCTTGCTTCCAACTCTCCCTCATCACTCACCGCACAAAGCAGAACTCATTTGTTCAAAATGAATTCTATATGAAAAACAAAAAAGTAAGAACAAGGCCCCAAATGCTGAGCGCTCTTCTTCAAATGCTAAAGACCAAACAGGTTGCTAAAACACCCTCAGTCATCCAGAACAGCAAGGTCACCCCCCTCCCGGGCACGCAGTTCCCTCATTCCGCGCCTTCCTTGTAATGGGGGTAGAGCAAACACACAGTAGAGTGAGCAGCCCTGAAGTGTAGAGCTAGATGAATTTCTACGGGTGCACTCAACTGTGTAAATACCCTCTAGAGGAGATCTCCAACACAGTCCCAAAGGGTCCCTTGTGCCTCCTCCCGTCACTTCCTACCCACCCCCAGGGGGAACCACCATCCTGATTTCTATCGCTAAAGGCTGGTTTTCCCCGTCCTTGAACTTCAGGAAGAGGAGACCGTGCAGCTTGTGGTCTTTTGTGTCTGGCTCCTTTCGCGTAACAGCGCGCCAGGAGAGTCGTCCGTGCGGCGTGGGTAACAGCACGTGGAGCTTCGGCCACGCACGGTGGCAGTTCCCCTCGCAAGCATGCCTCGGGGTCTTTCCCTGCCTTCCTTGTAGAGGGACAGCCGGACCGTCTCCAGCTTTTGGCCAAGAGCCCTCACCTTCTTGACCCCCTCAGACAGCACGTGGGTGCTGGGTGTGCGAAAGTGGATGTTGAGCACGATGACACAGATCACCACGACCATGGTCACCAGCACCATGCCGAAGAGCAGGAACCTGTAGGCACACACTCAGCCTGGAGCCCTCCGGGCAGGGCGGGGCGGGGCGGAGCGGGGCGGGGCGGGGGAGGCGGGGCGCGGCATACGCGTCACTCACTTGCCGATGAGGGGGATGGCCATGGACGTGGCGGGCAGCCGCTTGGAGATGAGCAGCAGGAAGACAGACTGAGCCAGGAGCACTGAGATGGCCATTGACGTCTTCTCGCCACCTGGGGGAACCCCGGACTTAGCTGCTGCCTCTGGCCTTGGGCCCAGCCGGTCCCTCTGCAGCCCCTGCACCACTGTTCACAAAGCCAGGGTGGTACCCTGATTAACATCGTGGGCTACGGAGCTAGAGCACGTGGGTTCAAATCCCGCTCTGCCACTTACTGGCTGGGTGACCTTAGGCAAGTAGCCTAACCTCTCTGTGCCTCGGTTTTCACAACTGCGAAATGTTGTGAGGTCCAATCGAGAGAGTGAGTTAACGTTAAACGCTCATCACGCTGCCTGGCGCCGGGCAAGTGCTCAGCGATCACCAGCTATCACCGTCAGCCAGCTCGCTGCCACTCAAACCTCCAAAAATCACAGGTCTGCGTGTGTCCCCAGGGCATCATCAGAGCACCCATATTTCCCCAACTCCTAGTCCTCCACTCAGAGACCCCAGCCTGGCACCGCCCGGCTCCTCCCACCCGAGCCCCTGAGCATGCTGCAGTGGCCACTGTGGTCACAGGCCCAGAGCCCCCCACCCCTGCCCCACGGCCCATTCTCTACCTGGAAGCTGCCTCCCGACCCATCTCTGGCTCAGGCGCAGCCTCTTCCAGGAAAGCTTCCCCTGTTTTACTACCCCTCGGGCCGTGCTCCCAGCCCTGCGGATTCCACAGTCTCGGCCAGCAGCAGAGGCTGGATCGCATTTGTTCCTGGGACTCACTGTGCCTTGCTTCTAGTAAATATTCTGAAACTATTGTGAAACCACGTGAGCACAGATTACACGTGCGCTTCTAGAACCAGCATCGACTGCACACCTCCATGCCTGGCTTCCTAGAGATCCCGTTATCCACCTACTGGTTCACGGTGGATGGCCTTCTGTGTGCGAGGCCCATGGTCACACATGATGACCAGGACAGACCTGATCTCTGCTCTGACAGAGGGACAGTGTCATGGTTCTCCCTCTCTAGGGAACTTCCTTGGGAAGCCCCACTGTGGGAAGCAGAAGTAGGGTCCAAAAGGGATGGACCGCCCCCCCCCCAAGGGGCCCTGTCCATTTGGAGATGTCAGACAGGGTCACGAAACCCTCCCCTTGGCTGGTCACATGCCCGTCATGCCTGGACCCTGGGCAGGGAGCCCCGGGAGTGGTGACCCCCTTGTGTCTCCCAGGAGGAAGTGAGGGGAGGGCCGGGGAGGTCGATGCTCAGGTGCCCTCAGGGACAAGGAGAGACTGCCCCAGGTGGCCAGGGAGCTGGGCCAGGCTCTGAGGCTCACTGTCGGCCGGCAGGTAGAAGACCAGGTTGATCATGAAGGAGATGAGCACGCAGGGCACCAGGATGTTGATGACATAGAAGAGTGGCTTGCGGCGGATGATGAGGTAGAAGGTGACGTCCTGGTGGCCAGGACTGTCCAGCGGGACGCTGGGGTCCATGTTGATCCTGGCTGGTCGGTGCACTATCTCCCACTCCCCGTTCTCTGAGGGTGGCAGAAGGGACACCCTGGTGTCAGGTCAAACAAAGGGGTTGGGGGGGCAGAACTGGGGGCTGGGGGGAGTGAGCCAGCCTGAGGGGGCATGCAGAGGAGGGTTGGGATTCTGTTTGTGGGGTATCTTTCCCTGGGGGGTTGGGATGGAGGTTTCAATCTGCAAGGGGAAATTCTCCTCTGGGAGTGTTTTCTGTTTGTTTATTTGTTTTTGTTCTTGGAAAATATTGAAGCTGAGGCCACATATGGTTCAAATAAGACGTCTTAGAGGTAGTGACAACAGTGAGATAAGATCAACCCCTCCCTTGGGGCGCCTGGGCGGCTCAGTCTTTAAGCGTCTGCCTTCGGCTCAGGTCATGGTCCCAGGGTCCTGGGATCGAGCCCCGCATCGGGCTCCCTGCTCCGCGGGAAGCCTGCTGCTGCCTCTCCCACTCCCCCTGCTTGTGTTCCTGCTCTCACTCTCTTTCTGTCAAATAAATAAAATCTTAAAAAAAAAGATCAACCCCTCCCCCTCCACGCCCCAGTGATGTAGCAGCCTCAGGACCAGTGTGATGTAGGTCTTCGCTGATGGACAGGGACATGTAGTGGGGGCCCCATAGCAGATCTGAGCCCGGTCATAGATAGGGGCGGGGGGTGTTGGTAGGGGGCGACACACACAACATTAGGAGGCCCGCTAAAGCCGCAACCACACCCCTGGGCTTACTGGGAACAGAAGACTAACTACCCCTCTTGTCTGTCAGCCACATCCATCCCCAGCGACCCTGTCCAGACCCGGGAGGGTCTTCTGGCCTGGGCAGCGGAAGGAGTGGGACACTGGCACCTGTCTACCTCTGCCTTTGGGACACAGTCCCCTCCGGTTGGACTTCTTTTCCTTTCAGTGTGCTAGAACTGCGTCAGTAAGTATGTCTGGGTGTGTTTCTCTGCGGGTCGGTGTGTATCTGTCCATCTGTGTCTCTCTGTCCGTCTGTGTGCCTGAGGGTGCAGGTTCCAGGTGTGTGTGTGCACACGTGCGTCTCCCGGGGGGGGGGGCGCTATCGGTGTGACCGTATCCATGGGTGTGTGTCTGAGGGGCCTGCCCACCCACAGCCGCCACTCCCAGCACCTGTGAAGCCCTCAGGGTCGATGATGATCCATTCCACGGGATAGAAGCGGCCCTCTTCTTCCTCCTGCTTCAAACTCAGGGTGATCTCCTTGGCTGTGTACTTAAGGGAACTGCGGAGGGCAGTGGGTAGAGGGTGGTCCTCAGCCATTGGCTGTGGCCACTGACGGCAGGCCATGGGGGGAGGGGTAGTGGAGAAGGTTCGTGGTCAGAGGGGCTGTTGTGGGTGTGGGGAGCTCTGATCGGGACGGAGCAGGTGCTTCATGCACCTCCCTCAGTCCTTGGCAAGGGTGAGGAGTGGCTGGAGAAGTGGGGGCACCTGAACTTGAGGGAGCAGTTCTGCCAGTCGAAGGGGAAGTAGGTGACGGAGACGGGGCAGGAAGAGCGGAAGATGGCGGGCGGCAGCCAGTACACATAGCCCGAGGGGTAGATGAGCACGTTGCAGGAGTAGGAAATCTGGAAGGAGCCGTCATTGCTGAGGGACAAAGACAGTGGGCCAACGTGAATGCCAGCCAGCTTGGAACTGGCAGGGTTGAGGGGTGGGGCAGAGCGGGGAGGGGATGCCAGGGAGGGCTACGGCTCAACTTGTTCTCCAGCACAATCTCTGGGAGCCACAGCATGTCAGAGGGCAGGCGCAGGACGCTGATATTTCCAAATTCTTCAGCATCCCACTGCAGCCGGCTATCTGTCCAGCCCTGGAAGCCCAAAAGAGGTGTCAGCAGTAGGTTCTGCTGTTGCCCAGGTCCCCCCCCCCCCACCGCTCTCCTCACTTCCCTGGGGGAAGACTGGACAGGGTCTGGGAGCTGTGACAAAAGAGGTTTGGGGGAGTGGGTACAGAGTTAGGACTCAGGTCTGTCATGTACAGCTGTGTAGAATGTACACTGCACAACCAAGGGAGCGTATTTCCATTGTGGACATAGAAACCGTATGTCTGCATTATGAACTTCTGACAGGTGGCAGAAGAGTGTCTTCTAATAAAATCAGGACATTGTGACAATTTTCCCACACATGAAGAACCCCAATCTACCGGAAGTCTCTAACTGAGCTAGTACAAGGTGGTGGGAAGGGCCGCTGGGCCTGTGGATAGAAGCCAGTTCCTCCTGGAGGACAGGAGGCTCCCCTCCTGGAGATCCCCAGGCAAAAGGGAGCACAGGGGAGCCTGGGCCCTTCCCCCCCCCCTCCGCCGCCAGCTCTGAGTGGGGTATTCTTACGTGCTCAATCCACACGTTAGTGGTGAGGGTCTCCTCAACTTCTTTCTGTAATCACACAAGACCACTGTCCCCCAGGGCCCGCATGGTTCTTTCACCTACGCGCATTCACCAGGCACCTGCTCCCAGCCGCCGCCCAGGGGAAACCATGGCAATTGGCCTAACCCCTGTCACAAGCACTCACAGTCAGGAGGCGGTGGGCAGACCCAGGAGCAGGGATGGGATGGGCATGGCCTCTGAAGTGGGTCAGGGGTCTGATATGGGCCAGACCCCAGAGCTGAAGCTGGAGGGGAGGGGGCACCCGCCCGAGGCCTGTGGGCAGCACTGAGCATGCAGAACACTGGAGCCTGCTTCCCTGGGAGAGGAGCTACCATAGTCCGGCCTGGGGCCTTGGGCTTCCTCCCCGGCCATCCCAGTCCGGGAGACAGTCGGGCCTCCAGGAAGCTGTCCCCTGCCCTCCCGTCTCCAGCCCGACCACAGAGGGGCCTCTGACCAGGGAGATGAGGTTGGAGAGCGTGAGGGCCAGCGACACGTCCACACTGTCCCTTTGGTGTGCCACAGGCCGGAGCTCCTTGTTGTAGCCTTTCTCTTCAAACAGGTACCGAATAAGCCGCTCCTCCTCATTCAGGCCCCAGCTGCCTGGGGAGAGACGGGGACAGGGATGGGGTGCAGGGGTGGGGGGGGGGGAAGGGAGCTGTCCTGAAATCCTGCTGGGCCCTGGGGCTGGGCTCAGCTGGGGGATCTAACCACTCCGGCCCCTCCAGGGAGAAACGGCAGTGGGGGGTGAGGGTTGGGGCCTGATGCTAAGGGAGGGAGCACCAGGTAGGAGGGGGAGGGAACCATGCGGTAGGGGCCCTGGGTGCAAGTCCCGAGGGACCTTCAGGGCAGGGTGATGTCCACTCTTACCACACACAACCAGTAGAGTCAGCAGCCCCAGCGTCCACACTGGCCGCTCCATCCTGTCCCTCTGACTGGGTCTTGTGGTTGCCCCTCCAGTCTACAGGGCTAGGGAATGTGGGTGGGTAGGAGAGGGGACAGGTGCAGGGGCGGGGGGGGGGGGTAGTGCAAAGGGAAGCAGCAGCCGGAAACGCAATCTGACACCTCTGGGCATGGCTGCGGGTAGAAAACCCAAGGCAGGTGACAAGGGGGTGGGGATGGGGACTGGCCGCCAGGCAGAAGCCCGAGGACATGAGGCAAAGGTCCCGGGCTGGAACTCCCCACAACTAGCAGCAGGGGTGGGGGCTGGGTAGAGGCACTGGACACTGGTCAGCCACGGGAAGGGGAGTGGTGACAGGCCAGCTGTTGCTATTTCTTGGGGGGACAGACAAGCATGGGGAAATGGGGGCTTAGCAGCCTCTCTCCAGTGTCTTTGTGACCTCTGCCAACAGCTTCTGGAGGCTGGGCCCTGTCTGGCCTGTCTAATAGCCACCCACCCAGTTCTCATCCCAAGAAAGCTCCAGAATTATCTCTGCAGATCATAAATAACGTTTATTAAAGCAGCTGTGATTTTCTGATGACGCATCTGGGAAGACACATGGACCCAGGCCCCCACCCCACACACCCAATCAACTGTGGCTGTGACAGTTTGTCATCAGAGGAGCCCCTTGGAGCGGTAGGTCCTGACCAGGGGTTGGGGGCCTAGACGTGGTTCACGGCCCCCTGGCTGGAGAAATGTGAGGACTGAGTGGGGGGTGCCCCTTCCTCCCCAGCCCCTGGCTCTGCCTCGCACCCATCTGGGGTCCCTCTGCCTCTGCCAGGGCGGCCAAGCGGAAGGCCTGCAGGGCCTGCACCAGCAACCGGGGGAGACTGCGAGCCATTGTGGCTGGCTCTAGGCCTACCAGGCCGCCGAAGACCACGTGCTGGCCCCCCAAGCCAGCCCGCACCCAGGCTCGGAAGAGGCCGGTCAGCGTCTTGGAGCCCAGATCTGCCAAGACCTGCAGAAGGAGGAGGGAGCTCAGGGCCCCACAACCTGGCTCTTGGTCCCCCTCCTCCTGGCCCCCAGAAACTCTCACCCAGATCCACTTTCCCCCATACCCCCAATCCTGCACAGTTCCTGCTCACTTGGACCCCCCCACATGCCCCTCCACTCACACTCCCCCCCGACACCTTCACATCTACCCAGCACCCCAGCTTACATACAGCTGCCCTCCCTGCCCCTTTCCCCCAAGACACCCCCACCCCAAGCTACAAAAGGGTGCCCCTTTGTCCCCCTACCCATCAGGGCTGACCCAGGTCAGTCTTCTGAGGCCACTGTGAGTGAATGTGGGAAGCCTGCGGACCCACCTCATGAAAGTCCATGGCCAAGTGCTCTGATGGGACCTGCAGGATCCAGGCATGGGTGCCTTGAAGGGTGGTCAACTTCTGTTGCAGGCTCTCCAGCCCAGGGCAGCCTGCAGGAAGGAGAGAGGTCCTGGAAATAGCAGAAAACTGGCACCGGCAAGGAGCTGGGAGTGGGGATTCCCACCAGGACCTCAGGATGGCCTCCCAGTGGGCCGATGTCTCCTCATGCTACCGATGGGAAACTGAGGATCAGAGAAGTTAAGTGATAACACAAAGCAGATAGTCTCTGTTGACAATGAGGGGGGACCAAAGCCACAAGTCCCCCCAAAGAGTCATCCTCCCTACTGCGCGGGGCGGGGGGGGGGGGGTCAGGTGGGGAGAGCGAGTCTGCGGATTGCCCCCAGGGCAATTGCCTCAGGGCCTCGCCAGACCCTGGGCCTGCTGCTCTCCCCGCAAAGGCCGGCAGGGGGCGGCATTACCGTTCACTTCCTCGCGCTCCTCTGGCCTCCGCTTCGGGAACCGAGCGCCTGCAGCCCGCGATCCTGGGGAGACGCCGCGTTAAGGGGTCGCCTCCGCCGCGCAATTGGTGGTGGGGGCTGCTGGGGCTGGAGTGTGAAGGCGCGGGGTACCTGGGTGCAGCCGCTGCTCGCGGGCGGGGTGTCTGGGAAGCTCCAGGAGAGACAGAGCGGGGCGAGCCGGGGCTGGGGCCCGGCGCCGCATCCCTGGGCTCGGGCCGAGCAGCTCCTGGGCGCCCCGCAGCAGGCCCAGGAGGGTGTGCGCCAGCGAGCGCAGCTCTGCGGACGGGACAAGGGTCCGAGCGGCGGTCAGACATGGGCCAGGCCACCGGTCCCCGGCCCAGCCCTGGGAACTGGACTGACCGCATCGCCTCCGGCGCTGCAGGCACTGCTGGTGCGCCAGACGCGCACAGGCGGCCGCGGGCCCGGGGCACAGGCGGGCGTAGAAGGCGCAGTGCGGGGCGGCTAGCGGCTCCCCGGGCGGGTCCCAGGCCAGCAGCTCCCTGCAACTGGGCTCTCGGCTGGAGGGGGTTGCTGCAGGCGGCAGCGGCGGCCAGCTCAGCCCCGGCTTTGGGCCCTAGCCCCCGCAGCCTTCCCCCGAAGGGAGGCAGGCTTCCCCGACGCAGTAAGGGGCTGGGGGCGGGCGGGGTGAAGACAGGCTCGTCCCAAGGGCTGTGAGCAGGACACTCCGGGGAGAGGTGAATAGGAACAGGGCGCTCACCGCTCATCTGCTCCTGGAGCCAGTCTTTGAACACGGCCACACGAGTGTAGACCCCGGGCTTCCCTGGCTCTCCGCATCCGTCCCCCCAGGAGGTGACTCCGTACAGGACCTCCCTGGGGTGGGGGCCAGGCTCAGAACAGGTCAGGGGGCCTCCAGAGTCACCCTGCGGGACCCGAGCCAAAACAGAGGGTACTACATTGACCTGCCCTCTCATTTGCTGGCCTGGCACTTGGCAGGGTGAGGCAGGTCTGAGTTCTCCTGGGGGGGGGGGGGACCCCTTTTTTTTTTTTTTTAAGATTTTATTTATTTGACAGAAAGAGACGGCAAGAGCAGGAACACAAGCAGGGGGAGTGGGAGAGGGAGACGCAGGCTTCCTGCCCAAGCAGGGAGCCCTACTTGGGGCTCGATTCCAGGGCCCTGGGATCATGACCTGAGCTGAAGGCAGACGCTTAACGACTGAGCCACCCAGGCGCCCCGGGGTACCAGTCTTGTACCCATTTTAGCAATGGGGACACAGAAGCTCAGACAAGTTGGGTGACAGCCGGACCGTGGGAGGAAGGAAGGAAGGAAGGAAGGGAGGAGGGAGGAAGGAAGGGAGGAGGGAGGAAGGAAGGAAGGAAGG